CTGGGTTCCCCAGGCAGTATCACTATGGAAGTAGATTGCCCCATCTTCCTTCTGAGGAGTGGCTGGTGGGTTTGAACCGCCAGGCTTTTCTGGTTAGCAGGCAAGTGCCTTAGGCACTATGCTACCAGAACTCCTGACAAATGTATACATCCATGTAAATACCATCAGTCAATGTGGTATTTTCTGTCACCCCTACTCTCTTTTGCCTGCTCAGCCAACCGTCTTCTCAATCAGTGGCACAAAGCAATCACTGATCTGTTAGCACTGAATTCTTTTCTAGTTTCACATAAATGGAACCATGTAGTAATGTGCTCTTGTGTGTTCAGCTTCTTTTACTCAGCATACTTTCGAGATTCAGTTCTTGTTGCACTTGTCATCTTTATTGCTAAATACTATTCAATAGTACAGATGCACCATAATTTGGCAATTTATCAAGAGCTTTAAAACTAGAGGTCCCTATCCAGTTTGTTAGCTTACTCCAGCTCCTAAATAATGAATTCGAATGGCAACAATGAGGCCAATGAGAAGGCTGTTACCATTCCAGGCAAGTGTATGGTTCCTTGGTCTCAGTAGTCATATGCTAGTCATATGGAGTCAGATACACCTGCACTCAAATTTACTTAATTTTTCTAAACTGATACATATACATAATATATATATATACACATACATATTATGTGTCATTTTGACATCTTTTACATGTACCATTCAGTGACACTATGTTCATGTTGTGCAACTATCACCACTATGTATTTCCAAATTTTTCCATCAACCCTAACAGTTCAGTCTCCAAGGGCCTCTTTCCTTCTTCCTCCCACCCCTGGGAAACCACAAATACACTTTAGTCTCTAAACATTTGTCTGATCTAGATGTTTCATGGAACTTGAATCATGCAATCTGTCCTTATTTCTTTCAGTACATTTTCAAGGTTCATCCATGTTGTAGCATGTAAAAGGAATTCATTTTTATGTCAAAATTGCTCCATCGTATGTATGCACATTGTTTTTCATCTGTTGACAGACATCTGGGGTGTTTCCACCTTTTGGCTACTGTTAATAGTGCTGCAGTCAACCTTGGTGTGCATGTTCTTGCTTTCAATTCTTTTCGGAATATACCTAGGAGTCACACTGATGCACCCTATTGTTTAATTTTTTGAGGAACATCCAAAGTGTTTTCATACTTCACTTTTCTGAGTTGATTTTAATCTGTAAAAACCCTAGTCATAAAGGGAGACAATGTATGCCAACTGCTAACAAAAGGCACAGAACTTGGGGGACAGTAGGGGGTTCACACAATATGTATTTACATGTTCTTCCTATCCCTTTTTCAAATGTGGGACTAAGACAGCACAGTGCTCTGACACTTGTTTTCCACATACCCTCCACTCCTGACTCAGAAGGTTCACTTAAGTATGACTTGGGCAATCTGTGGGAAACAAGTATTGTAGAGGCAGAAATCTGAGAACCTGCATCCTAGAATATATGACAAATGCAGCCTCAAACACTCTCACAGCACTGTCTTCAATTGGACCAAGTAGCCCAGCTGGAGTTCTAAACTCAGGACCTCTACTGCCAAGTCTTGAGTCTAGGCACCAACTCTTTGGTAGATGTGGCTCTAAGCTACCTTAGACTCTGATACATTCTTTGATCTGCTAATGACCTTCATTTACTAATATACCTTATTTTATTGTCTGGTCAAGGCTAAAGGTAACGGCCCATGAACTCTTGAATCCACGAAGGTAGTTCAAAGCCACGAACTACCTTCACATGATTAAAGATACCAAATGAAAAGCTTCCTTCAGTCAAACAACCAAAGCGTCACTGCTGCTCCTCAGTGCTTTCCAACTGACCTTCACAATTGTGCCCACCCCCCAGGGTCTAATCTAGTCATCCTATAAAGCCCACTGAATAGTAACCCAGTATACACAACTAACATTAACAAGCATTGCTCCCACTGGGCTGTGGTCTCTAAATACCATTTTTTTAAAAAAAGCAGAGACCCTTGGAGAAATGGCTAATCCTAGGTTTAAGGAACTCTGGTGGTATAGTGCTTAAGACGTTTGGCTGCTAACCAAAAGGTGGGCGATTTGAACCCACCAGCCCTCAACGGAAGATGGAGCAGTCTGCTTCCCAAAAGATTTACAGCCTTGGAAACCCAATGGGGGTTGCTGAGTCACAATCAACTCAATGGCAGCGAGCTTGCTTTTTGAGAGGTTTAATATGAACCCGGCACATCTTGTCACACTCTAAAGCAAGGAAGTGCAAAGAGCACTGGGGTCTGTGATAATTAGGAGTAAGCTTAAAACGGATGCCACTGGTCAAAATCAAAGTAACATTAGCATCAAAAAAATGGTAAGTTGAAATACGACTACATAAAATCAATTCGTGATACTTACATTCATTACTTTTGGAGGTTCCTAGGGAGCTCTGGTAGCATAGTGGCTAAGACACTTGCCTGCTAACCAGACGTCTGGCAGTTCAAACCCACCAGCCACTCCTCGTAAGGAAGGTTGGGCAATCCTACTTCCGTAGTGATACTGCCTCGGAAGCCCAAGGAGGGGTCGCTATGAGTCGGGGCTGACTTGACAGCAAAACAACAACAGGGCATTGACCTATCATCCTGTAAACTGATAAATGAATCAACCACAAAGAAACATAATCATATCTTTTCAAAGTTAGTTAAAAATTGAGGCAAAGTGATTATTTTGGTTTAATACATAAGCCCAAAGAAAAGCCTGCAGAGAAATTCATGATATTCTTAAGGACTAAGCCATTAAGACACTTTCCACAACAGACTGGCTTATGGGAAACATTTATACTTAGCCCATCAATAAGTACTAAGAAAGGTAAACTCTGGATCCACCTAACTCAAATATTATTCTTGGTAAATGAACTGTAGCTTTCAATACTAAACAGAATAAAATGGCTTCTCTTACAACTTCCTTCCAGTTTGAATGAAGATTAGTACCAGGATAAAAGGAAATTAGTTTTCTTATTGGTCTTAGAAAACTTCAAAAATGCATTAAACAGAAATAGGGATTCTATTGTGTTTTTCTTTTCATAATGGCCACATTATATTTGCTCGCAGCAATTAAACCAATATATAACTATGTAGTCTACATTGTACAAAGGGAAGGAATTAGTGTTTTTAAAAGTATTTCCAAAATCACAAGCCTATGAAGGTCAATCCTTTAACTTTCACCTAAAAATCTCTGCTTTCCCAAAAGAACAAGTCTTGCCTGGAACCATTTTGAAAGAAGGATCTAATTAGCTATTTAATAAGGAGTAAGAATAAGGTCTACCAATAAGACCAATGGCTTTCCTGCCACATAAACCAAGGTTTAACTGCAGACAGAAAGAAACCCAAATACTGGAAATCCCAGACCTTCGTAATTATATATAATACATAGCCCATATTTATAGGAAACTCCATTATTAAAACTATTAAATGACCAATACTAATAATTGCCTACCATACTTCCTGTATCATACTGTTACTATGTACAATGGTATCTAAGGAAGGAATGAAGCCAGATTTAATATAGTTCTTGGTAGTTTTATCTATGGCAGTATTTGAATACCATAGCATTAACTAAATATATTAACTTAAAGTGTTGATTGATAAGAGTTTGGAGGGTCTTATCAATTTAAAGTAATCTTTTAAACCTCAAATATAGCTGTCCACCATTAAGATCACACGCTAAGACACCCTTTTAAGTTGGAACTTAAGCCACTGCCAGAGGTCACCTTTCAGCCAAATAGATTAGCCTATAAACTCAACAATAAGATGTGTGAGGAATGTGTTCCTTCAAACAATGAACTATAAGAGACCAAATGGTCAACACTTTCACAAAAGCAAAGATGAGAAGGCAAGGAGGGGCAGGAAAATTGTATGGGAAACAGGACAGGTGAGGTAGAAATGGTGAGTGCCGATACATTACAGGGATTGTAACTAGTACTACAAAACAATTTGTATATAAATTTAATGGGATTCTAATTTACTATGAGTTGGAAATGACTCAACGGCACCTAACAACAACAACTGTGTAAATTTAAACTTAAGACACAATGGTAAAAACAACCAAAAGTGTGTACCGTCCTTTAAAATGGAGATACTTTCCCATGAAATAAAGTAGATTGAATATTTAACTCTATCTCCTGAGCCCATCATTAAAGATTCAAGTAGTCCCCAACTTATAATGGGGTTCTGTCCTATCAACTCCATCGTAAGGCAAGCATCTAGTTTTATTATGGTCATTTATTATCAGTATCTTCATAAATTCAATCTGTCTTTGAGAGTCGGAAACATTACATATAAAGTTAGATATGATGACATCTCCAAATTACATGCCACAACACTGTATGTAGTACATATTAATGACAATGACTGCAACTATAAACCCACCAACAAGTAGCACAATCCAAAGACAATGAAAGAGTAAAATCAACAGGGTAAGAGTTAGGGGAAAGGAAAAATGAATAAACAATTCCAAATGACCCGTTACTTCAGACTTTAATCCCTAAGGAGCCAAGGAAGAGCACTCAACTGGAAGTTAAAAATATAACAAACATAAATGTGAAAAGACAGGAAATAAAATCTAAGTTAGTTAAAAATGGAGGCAACTGAGAAAAAAGGGAAAATTAATTACCTTATTCAGATGAGGAACCCTGGTTGAGAAAATGCTCTCCAGATGACTTAACATGACAGATTTTCTTTAGCAGTAAGCCTGGGCACATAGGTTCCAGAAAATCTGGAAACCTGCTTTCATAGTTTCAACTATTAACTATTATCAGGAAGTGACAGTGTATGAAAACTAAATCCTGAATCTTAAACAAGATCGATATGTTCATAAAATGAACTGCTATATAGATTGGTTAACTTTTGGAGGGGTAGGGCAGGGACTGTTTCTACTAAGTTTTAGGGATACTGTGATATTCTTAACTGTACATTTTCTTTGACAAAGTGTAAGGAGTGTTGGTAAGTAAATAGAGAAACAGTGCTACTTTATTAAAATACTGAGTTTATTTCACATGTATATTTTTGTCTCCCCACCATTTCCATTTGTCTGACCACTGCTACTACTATGTCCTATCATAACATTCCATACATACTTAAAACCAAGCAAAGGGTGGAGTTCCATCTTTAAAAACTAAACAGGCATTTTGGACAACACATTCTTGGCAAAGGAACCTGGACAACATTTATCAGACATGGTAGGGAAAGTTCTCACTCTGCATTATAAAAAAGGACAGCCAGATATCAACTGTTACAGAAATGAAATAAGACGGAAAATTTTAACAAACTGTTTAAACTATTTTTTTTAAAGAGACTTCCTCCACTGCCAGAGATCTTGAATAGCCTGGAAAAAAAAAAAAAAATGTGGTTAAAAAACCACAACACTGCATAGACATCAATAAACCATGTCTTTTCACATAGTTCAATGTATCTCTTTTCCATTCTACCACCAAAAAGGTTCACATTCTAGATAATTAAGAACTGATTTTTAAAAAATTTATATTTATACATTATAATTTCAAAAACTTTAAATTCTGATAGCCAAGTAATTAATTCCTTGTAAGCAGTTAATTATATTAAAATACATTTAACAGCTTAGAGATTTTATTTTAATTAAGGAGATCAAAGAAGGGTTGAAGACCAGTATGGCCAACATTTGCTGACCTTAATTTGCTAAGATCAGCTTTAGGACTGCCAGATATAGCAAATAAGAATAATACTCAGTTAAATCTGGATAGACATTTCTATTATTTTTAATACATTTCTAATTACATATGCATATATACGTCAAGATAAAAATACTGTAAGTATTCACATACTGTTTTTAAATCTGAAAAAATTTAAGTATCTAAATTATATTCCTCCTTTATATTTCCCCATTGATTCAGCTTTCCTTAACAGTTCCTTGTTTTATAGTAATTACTTATGCAAGTCCTTAGTTACAATCTTATTTTCCATTTACATTGTATCATAGCTTCCCATTCTACTTATTTCGTTTGTCCACTGAACATTCATTAATGAGAAATCACTTTCAATGTTGGCATTATGAGCTGGCTAACAAATATGTACTGGCATGTTAACAGAGACACGCTCTTCAAATCAGATTTGTTGAAGTATGTAACATCTTTCATGTCATAACTTGCTCATCCATTCTTCAAGATCACACTGCATCTCTTAATCAGTGACTTTTTAAAAAATGCTGTCATCAATTTTTATTTGATTCTTCAACATATGATTCCTCTCACTCCCATCGTAAAGTGTATTTAGGAACATCCATATAAAAGAATCTGATTCTTCAAGGGTTAAAATCCATTTCAAATGGTAGTGTGCAATCATTAACCACTTCAAGCTGGAATTTTTTCTCCTGCTCTTAAGTAATGTGCCTTTTTAGGAACATCCTTGGAGACTGTAGGCACTCTCTAAAAGATTCATCAAGTTTCTATAAGCAACAGAGCACACTTTGTTCAGTGACACTGCTCATCTTTCAGTGCTGTTGCTAATGATACTGAAAACTATTAACAAGAATTAAGTAGCCTTCAAACAAAGATGTATTTTAAAAATGTCATCAAGAAAATAAGAACTTTGGAATCTGGACATTCTGGAGCCATGGAGGCTGGATGGAATCCCTGAAACTATTGCCCTGAGATAATCTTTAACCTTAAACCAAAAATACCCCCCCCAAGGTCTTCATAAAACCAAACAATAGCTTAAACTAAGTATCCTGCCTTGAGCATTATGCTCTTTTAAGGACTATCTAAATTGAATACAGCAACTACAAAGACTTGATAGAAAACTTAGGGGCAGTCAGTTTCTGTCAACTGGGCAGGAACAACTCAGAAAGGATAGACATGAATGGTTGCACAATGCAAAGAATGTAACCAATGTCACTAAATTAGACATTTAGAAACTCCAATTGCTGTGTTTTGTTGTATGTATTTTCAACAAAAATTTTAGAAGAATTTTAGGGGCTTTTTCTTCAGTAAACGTTTCAGTTGTTTGAAATAAACCTTATTTGTTAAAGACAAACGATTTCTAGAAAAGTGAATTTTTATGCTTTGTGATTACTTGCATCAGTGGCTATATCATAAAAGTGTAAAGATAGCCTAATACATATGGAAAGCAACTTGAACTTCTGGTGTAATCACTTATTCACCTGAACTTTCCTTATATTGGGTACTAGATGAAAACATACATATTATGGTAGTTGTGTTTTTATGCTGGATTATACCTTTTTACTACTTTTGATACTGAATGAATTGTACACTGCAGTTTCAAAGGACTGTTTAATAAAATCACTATTGAAAAAATTCACAAACTTTAAACTTGCATTTTGGTGTTTTAACTACAAATCAAAAATCGAACAGGAACCCCAAGAATTAAAAAAATTAAATTTGATACTTTCACAGCTGTGCAACTGCATCTATCTCCCACAAGTCCAAACTCAGCAACTTCCAATTTTTCTAGATTCATACTTCATACAGAGGTTGAACCAATGAGGAGAGTTTTGAACCTGGAACTATTAAATGAACTAGTGTTACCATTTAAAATGATTTAAGCACCAATTACTGTGGGGGGGAGGGGAGAATGTCTCTAAACCAAACATAATACCAGAGTGTCCATTCCCATTCACAGGGACCCCCCCCATTGGGTTTCCAAGGCAGTCAGTCAATAATTACGGAAGTGTGACTGGTTCAACGTGGAGTTTGAACTTGAGCTGCCCGCCTTCTGATTAACAGTCAAATACCTTAGGCACTGTACTATCAGAGGTCCTTGGACCTTTAGAGAATCCTGACAAAAAGAAACATGCTTCCACACTTTTTTTAAACAAGCTGAATGCAAATAAACAGTGGAAATTAATATTTCTATTGATAAAATCCCTCATGTTAAGAATCACAAACCGACAGCTGAATCAAGTTAATATACTGAACAACTAGCTTGGCTACTCGCTGCCAGATTTTACCCTTTAGGTTGATTTCAGCAAAACAAGCTTCTCATAAGATCTACAGAGAAAATAGTCTTCTCTATCAACCTCAAGAAAGCAAAGACCAGACTGCCCCAAGTAGCCAAATGGAGCAAGGAAAACCACAGCTCATTTCCTTAGCCAGTATTGTGCCAAAAGTAGAACTGAGATAATTTACCAACTATATAAAAGTTGGGGAAAATATACTAAATAAAATCTTCTCAGTCTCTGCCAAAGAAATTCTTAAGAGTTTCCATGCATTTAATCCGAAGTATTGTCTCTGTGGTTAAGACTTTTTAAAAGAAGCCAACATTTAGAGACTAAAAGGAGAATCGTAATAAATCACAGTAAAATATTTGGATTTGGTCATGTCTCCAGAAAATGTAGTTACCTCCTGGTCAGTCATCCGGAAGCAATTCTTCACATAATTGATGAATTTGGCTTCCACTTTGGGAAGAGAACCACCCTATTGAGACAAAACCATTATTAAAAGTAAGTATAGAAATAGTTTTGAGTGCTTTCAAGTTGAGATTCCTCAAAGATTTGCATGCTGTTGTAAGAATTGCATCCCAACAGCATATTATAAGAATACTGAGTCCTTTCTAGACCTTAGCATACTCTTTACTACTAGTGGAAACTTTAGGACCCAGGTCTTTCAAAGCAGTACTTCTATACTAAAAGGTTCAAATTCTCTCTAGCCTGCCACTCTAGGAATTACACCTGAGTCTACAGGCACTCAACTATGACAACTTGGCTGCCCACTTTATCATTTACACAAATCTATTTTATTATCACTCAGAAACAAATACAAAACAACCACACGCCTCCTCTGGATCCCTATATATACACACAAGTGACTAGTTTAACATATTTTAAAAACATTGAGAAGACATCAGAATGGTAAAGGAACCATGGCACAAAAACGAATTAGGCATGGTCGAAGATAGGCAACTGCCTGCATCACCTAGCAAATAAACCTCACTGTAACAACTTCCATTTTAAAATTATTGTCACATACAATTCTTATTTGATTATTCAAATATTTATTGAACAGCTAGGGAGATACAAAGTTTATAAAACATGGTAAAAAATGTGAGGTAAATGCACAAATAAGAGAGCAGAGTATGGTTTACTGAATCATAGCAGTCATAAGAGTGCTTTAGGAAATCAAGAGTGAGATTGCTTCCAGCCTACAAGGAGGCATGGGTGGGTGGCAAATCAGGAAAGGGGATTGAGATTAAAATAGAAGACTTCAGTCTGGATTGTTGATGATACTCAGTATGGACTATATTTGTCTCTCCTTTTCCTCTCCCCATCTTTGGGCTTAATTTACCAGTAGTGCCCAGGACTGTTCAATGCGCCTGCAATCAAACCAAGGAGATAGGACCATATTAAAATGGGGGGGAGGGGTATCCAAAAGATGTCATTTTAGCACTGTATGCGAGGAATAAAGTCAAGCAGTGATACCACAAAGGTTAAAAAGGTTTACAGTAGAAATAAAGCAAAAACAAATACATTCTGGTTCTAAAATTCCAGTTTTCCAATTCACTCATCACTGCACAAGAGAGGAAATCTATTGAAGTAATGTAGAGCCTACCAAGCTCAGGGAAAACATGGGAGAGTCAGCACTTTTCCCTCACCACAATCATTGGGGCCTAAAAGTAACTCATAGAATTAAAGCTTCTTTCAAAAGCATTCTAAGACATTTAAACCAGTTCCATACGCTGCAAGTCCAGAGGTTCACTAAATTTTATTAAGTCCCTAAGTAAGTAGCAAGACAGTTAAGAGCTAATCTTCTTATGTTACAACCATTAAAGAGAAAAAGACTAGATGTAATTACTCAAATTCAAGTCAGTACCGCTTGTATTGATTGGTGACACCTTGTATGCCAAAATAAAAATGACTCAGTTTGCCGGGAAATGCTTTTGACTATATCCAATCATGAGTAATTATATACTTGTAACTTTAAAGCCAAGCACTCTTACTCTTCCAGCTGTTTGCAATTTTATGCAAGATTCATATGCCCTCTGCTGGTTATCCAGCATATCTCACAACCAATTAGATAAATGAGCAAAGGGAGATGTTCTCATTGATCATTTAAGGTAAGATGTGATGTTTTACAGTAAGTTTTCTTATTGTAAAAATAAAAGTTTAACTTCATACAATATATCAACTAGTTATATTTTTTAAAAGAAATAAAAAAGAAAAGCCCTACTTATCCAACTCCTAAGAGTGTGAATGGGTCAGACCTATTCAGTTTAAGAAAAGATTTTACTTACTTTTTCTATACTTGCTTGCATTTTTGCTTTAATGTCTTCTACAGAACTAGGTCCTTTTGGTGTTTTAGGAGTTTTTTCCTGTTTTTTGAATGATTCTTGACCCTGGAAAGATAGGTGAATTTCAAAAGATCTTTTCAATTTAAAAAAGACCCAACCCCAGACTTTACAATGTTCCATAAAATTACTCTGTCACCACCTGTAAGTTGCCATTAGAAATAAATGCATGTGTGTACAATTTTGCTTAGGGAATAGGAGTAATTTGGGCTTATGTTACATTATACAGACACACACAGTCAGTTCTGTACTTTCAGGTTAATCATCAAAAATGAAGCCAGGAAGCCAACTTGATGCCAGAGGCTCATCATCCAAGAGCAATTTAATAACAATAATCTCTATCGGTAAGGGCTCAGGTATCGAATATTCCAACATGCAGCCAAGGCCTCTGCTCTATGCTGATACATGTACCTTTTAAAAAAGCAAGATTCCTTATAAGAAACAAATGTTCACAATATTATAATAAAAATCTCCCTGCTGGTTTCCTTCCCCATTCCAATAGCCTTCTCTTCTACCTAGCTAGTATCTATCTAAAACAATGAATGATTCCCAACAATTGCACTTCAGCTCTATAAAACACCAAATACAGGTACTGTCCAAAAGCTCGTCAAATTTCAGACAGACTATAGATTATTCCACAACAGAATCTTAACTTGTTCTGAAGTTAAATGAAGCCTGATTTGTTGTCACTTACTTTTGATCTTGGTGTTGATGGTTTTGAGTCTTTTCCATTCTGGTTTGATTTTTGTGCATTTTTGGCTGGATTATCCCGTACAGACTGCAATTAGAAATTAATCGTTATCAATGTCCCTGATATAACAGGCATATCAGGGTAAATAAAACCATCCCAAACGACCTAAGGAAAGATGCACAAAGGCTAAGATATTGAGGGAGAAGGCCACATGGATGAAGAAAATAAATTTCCTAGTACAATAACGTTTTCTAAACAGGATCAATTTTAAATAGCAGTTCACCATTTCTTTCCAAGCCAGTTTTTACTAACTACAGAATAATAGCACTAGAAAATGTCCATTATTTTTGGAACAACTGTTATGATGACCTCGTGACACTATCTACTTACTTTCTTCACTGGAGCTTTTTCTTCAGTTTCATCATCATCAAAATCATCATCATCATCACTACAAATGAAGTAAGCATCATTACTACTGATTCAATGCACTCATAAACCTAAAAAGGCTAGTTAGAAAATTAATCAGTCTATAGTAAGTTTAAAGCATAAAGGACCTTTCAAAAATTTGTAGAGTTGATAGAAATTAGAGATCTAAATAAATATAAAGATAGCCCATTTATGGGTCAACTGACCTACTATTAAGATGGCAAGATTTCCCAAATTGATTTACAAACTCAAGCATACCCATCAGAATCCTAGCTGGCTTATTAGAAATTGACAAGCTGTCCTGAAAATTCATACAGAAATAGAACTCAGACTAACCAAAACAATCTTAAAAATTATATATATATATATACACACACACACATATATATACATATATATATATATATACACATATATATATATATCTGCATGCAAAGGAATGAATTTGGACTCATACTTCACAGCATATACAAAAATTAACTCAAAAGTATCAAATATCTAAGTGTAAGAACTATCCAATTCTTAGAAAAACATATATGGGTAAGTAAGTCTTTGTAAACTTACACTTGCCAGTGATTTAAGGGGTGACAACAAAAGAATAACCAACAAAAAGAAAAAGCAGATAAACTTTACTTCACAAAATTAAAAGCTTAAGACAATTCACAGAATGGAAAAAAATAACTAATGATAAATTGTAACACAGACAACTCAATTTAATGAAGAGGGAAAGAAAGAAAGAAAAGACCTTTCTCCAATAAAGACAGATAAATGGTCAACAAGCACATGAAGGTGCTATCACCAGGTTACGCAAATCAAAACTGTAGTAAGATACTACTTCAGCTCCACTAGGATAACTAGGACGATAAAAAGTCAGACAATAACTAGTGCTAGGAAGGATGCAGGAAAACCGAAAGCTCCACACACTGATGGTGGTAATATAGAATGGCACAGGCATTTCAAAAAGTCTGACAGTTCAATTAAACAGTTACTATGACCTACCCATGCCACTCCTAGATACATACCCAACAGAACTGAAAACACGCCTATAGAGAGTCACATGTAAATACAGTCCTTTAAGCAATTTTAATGGTTGATTTTGTCATTTAAAGATTTTGGTCTTAGAACCCAAATCCTGTCATGTGCACCCCCTGTACAAAGAACATGATGACAATGTTTCCTATAAAAATCCCTATCAGACAGTTTTTCTTTATACATTAGTTTTAACAGCCAAATGTGAATCCCACACCAGACAATTTCCATCACTAACACAGGACCCACCGCTTAATATTTCCACCTAGCAAGTATTTCAACTAACAAACCAAACTTAATGCATAGCTTTACACTTTCTTTGCCATCTACTTTGGGCCTCTGTCATCTCACCAATGGAAATTTCTAAGATTTGTCCCCCCTCAAGCATCCATTAACTATCCCTTATCATAACGTAATTTTGACCACCCCTTGTAAGAAACTTGCTCATTCATACCATATACTTTTATTTCTCACTCAACACCTAACTTAAAAGATAAGTATCTAACATGAGACACAGAAGACTAGAACACAAATCTAACTATAATTAAGATCAGGAATTGCTCTTGAAAATGAACCCTGGAATTATCTCTCTAAAATAGAAGTAATCTTCTAAAACCGGAGTAGGATCACTCCACCAGTCAGGTTCCATTCCAAAGTTTCAGTGAAAATGATTGTATTCAAACTCAGTGACTGCTTTAGGACATTCATTTGTAAAACTGCCAAAATACTCGAAATTACCAAAGGTTAAATCCAAGTCTTAATAACATCCAGATTTCTCATTTCTATTCTTAGCCCATTCCCCATTCTTCTACTGGATTATGTCAATTCTTGCAAATAAGGATTATCAGTGCCAAACACTTATTATTTTGACTTTGTAAGTCTGATATACAGAATTTGAACTTGTAAGCATTTTACTACTCAACCTTTTCCTTTTATTTTCTGCCTTCAATGTCATGCTTAAAGGAGTTTGCTGTGCGTGTGTGTGTTTTAAAATAATGACCAGCTTGGTTATTTGAAATTATTGAAAATCTAACTTCCAAAGTTGGTAGCCTCTCTCTACACCTTTCTTAAAGATTCTACTTAAAGAATATATGTCTGTGTGTACATACATGTGTACACAATGTATACACAAACACAAATATATACACACACACCTGGGAAATGAGAAACAAAGTTCACAGGCAATTGAAAATTCAATGTTAGTATTAATTTTATTAGGCCCCCTGGTGGCACAATGGGTTAAGTGCTCAGCTCCTAAATGAAAGGTCAGCAATTTGAACTGTCCAACGACTTCACGAGAGGCCTGGTAATCGCCCATAAAGATTATAACCTAGAAAACCCTATGGAGTTCTATTGTCACACGGGGTTGTTATGAGTCAAAAATTGACTCAGTAGTACCCAACAATAACATTAGTACTTTATTCCATAGGTTGAATGTAGCTGTTTTATTCACAGCTTAATTAACATATCAAATCTTGTTTGCAAGCACATTTTTAATTCCCCAAGAAAATCTCATTTTTTTAATATTTTATTTTGGTACCTGGGTCAAATACACTCAACAAATGCTGCATACTAACTTCTGAAGATTCAGAATACATGGCAGGATTTTAAAGGCTCACTAATCTCAATAATAAGCAATTATCTCAAACTGACCACATGCCCTTTAACTGTTCATTTTCACAGAATGACTTTTTTCCCCATAAAAATTGCCCCAGAGGTACAACTATGTCAAATTTCTAAGTGTTACTACTTACTCTTCATCATCATCATCGTCGTCATCATCATCATCGTCATCTTCGTCAGCAGCAAGTTTTACTTTTTTCTTAAAGAAAAATATATACTCATGAACAAGAATTGATCCTAATCACCAAAGATAAGGCCAGAATAACAGCTCTGTAGTAAGAATACATCTATACCTGTGGAACTTTGTTACCACTGGCAGGGGCCGATCGCTTTCCTGATATACTTAAGAGCTTCACATCTTCCTCCTCTTCATCATCTGACTCTGCATCTTCTTCCACAGCTAAAAGATAGGTTATTTGCCACTATGAAAACTCAACAAAGCAAGAACTCAAAGAAAGAGAAGATTTATTACTATGACCATATAAAAACAAATTCTGCTAGAAAAATGGCAAACGGGAACAGGAATTTAAAAGTAAATTCTTGGTGCAAATGCTCATTGCTAGGTTTTAATTACAAAGTTGTTGTTATATGCCATAGAGTCAGCCCCGACTCATAGCGATCCCTCCTTGGGTTTCCGAGGCGGTATCACTTCCTTCCGAGGAGTGGCTGGTAGGTTTGAACCGCTAGCCTTCTGGTTAGCAGTCAAGTGCCTTAGGCACTATGCTACCAGAGCTCCGCTTCCTTAACTGTGAATAACTAGATTCACAATTGAACCTATTATATACACAGAATACACACATTTTTAAAAAATTTGCCAACAAGTAACTCCATTAAAAAGAATAAACAAAACAACATAATATACAGACAACGTACCTACTAAGTGCTGTCCACTGATATGCACAGGCCCTGAGCCACACTTCAACCGTAAGACCACAGGTGGTGTTATTTCAAAACCCCCAAGGGAGACCTAAAAGTGAAGGGAAAAAAAGACTAAATGTTTGCTATAAAGCCTGTTCATAACTCCCTGAAGTCATCTTAAAACCAACAATACATTACCTTAACTACTTAAAAAAAAAAAAGTTTGCCTTGGGCATCATGCTCTTAAGAACTATCTATATGGGACTAAATTGACAACAGCCTCGCAAATCATGAGATAAGAACATTAGGGGGCATTGAGTTCATGTTAATAAGGAAAGAACAAGTCAGAAAAGGAGGGTACAAATGGTTGCACAACTAGAAAAAGGTAATTAATGTCACTAAATTGTATATACGTAGAAACAGTTGAATTGTTGTGTTGTTCTGTGTATATTCTCACAAACAATTAAAATTTAGAGGAAAAAAAGGGAAAAGCTCCCAACAGCCAAAGCCAGAACAATTTAAACAACAAAATAAAACAGTACTGAATTAAAAAAAAAAAAAATCAATCACAACTGACTTACAGTGTTAGTATAACAGATGTTCTAAGCAAAACCCAGTTTTTTCACCTTTGAAGCAAAACCATTGTGTTCAAAATTTGATCATTTACCCCTCTAACACAGCAAAGCAACTCACTGCTGTGAAATCTGATCTGACTCATGGCAACCCCTCCCCTTGGCGGTATATCCCCAGGCAAGTAGATTACCCAACCTTCTTTCCAAGGAGTGGCTGGTGGGTTTGAACCGCCAGCCTTCTGGTTAGCAGTCAAATGTCTTAGGCACTACACCCCCGGAGCTCGCCATTTACCCCTATTACCAGTGACTAAAGGGAGAAAGAACTGCCAAATAAAAGAACCCTCTCTAGCTCCTTGGTATAATCTAAAGGACAGCTGCTGCAATGCAAAAGAATTAGCCCTTGACATAAAATCAAGTTTAAGTATCCTTACCGTTGGCTGTACAGACATTTTCAAAGTTGCCAGCGTTACTTTAATTGGGCTGCCTTCGTAATTCATTGCCTCTGCTTCAACAATGTGCAATTCATCCTTTGCACCAGCCCCTAAACTGACCTGTGAACCAAATAAAAACAAAAGTTCAACTTCTCAAGTTCTAGCTATTTTACAAACCTCTACCCTAAGATATTAGTTTTAAAAAAGTGAATTATAAACTCGCTAGAAGACTAATTTGTGCACAATGCCAAGTTTTGTATGGCCTGGTAAACCAATTTCTCGTATTTAGTACATTTGAGGAAATAAAAATGCATACACACAGTATAGATCACCTCACCTACTACTAAAGCTGACCGGTAAGCTAGTCTCTGTGGGGAATGTAAAAGATTATAAAGGCTTTATAAATACAGGTAAAGAAATAAAGTATATAAATATGGTATTGAAGAGTAATATAAACAAACTTTATGATTACCAAGTGATTGGGGGGAAGATGCCAAGTTTTATACCACAGGTAATAACACAATCAAGTTATACAGATGCTACTATCTTGTAAGCAGTCAGGGAAACAAGAAAAAACCTTAAGCAACATGAATGGGAAAAAAGGTTGAATAGTTAATTCTCAAAGTTTAATTACCGTTCTTAAAGATAACTGGTGCTCATTTTCATCATTATCCACCTTAAAGTGATAATCTTTGTCAGCCTTTAGTTCACAACCTGTAAATGAAGAAAAAAGCAACTAACAAGAGTAGAAAAGTAACACCTAAAGTGTGGGTAACCAAAAACAAAAAGGTTAGTAAGTAATTTTTCACATTTTACTGATTATCAAAGAGCAAGACAGAATGATCTTTTAGGATGCCTTGAACACAGACTTCCATACACATCAAATAATATTCACTTACAGGGCTTTATAAAGTCCCCTTTCCCATCATTCCATTTCATTCTCAACTATACCACAAGACAGACAGTACCACTCTGCAAATGAAAACTAACTCAAAGATTTATTTACTACATTTGGAATTTAAACTACTACCTGAGGCCAAACCAAATGTATAATGCTGATAATGTCCTACCATTTTTAAAATTGGAATCATCTGTCTGAACTTCCAAGAAAAGTGGTAAATTAGAAATGGGGACGGCTAGGAACAAAGCCTTACTACTTAATACATCTATACTCCTGTTCCATGAATAATTTGTTTAAAATGAGATCTAATAATTCCATTATATTACTATCTAATAATCACTGGTATATAGTGTCACTGCCCAGTAAACAAAATTTCACCATGGGAAGTGAAAATTTTGGGCAGAATTTGCACTTACTCCAAAACTAAATCTTAGGTAGGCCTGGCTGGCCACAAGGTAAAGACTTCAGCAACTCAGTTTCTTTAGATTGAAAATCAAAACAGGACTCTTCTTAACTAAAGTGGGTTGAGGGGAGGGCGAGTGGAGAGAGAAAATCCAAACCCTAGTATAGAATTACAAGTTGTTAGCAGCCCCAGCTCTTCCGTTTGTTGTCCCAAACTGAACTCTCTGCACGTTTTTCATCTTTAAAATAAAAGCTACTTGACCCATGAAAAAGGACTCTCTCTTTCCGTCTTCCCCCAAAACTCTATGGAGGAGTATGGATTCAGAGCTAGTCTCCTTTTACCTATAATCTTGGGCAAATCACTACTTCCTGAGCTTCAGAAACATCCTCTGCAAAATGCAGCTAACTCCGTCTACTGCAGTCAAATGGGGGGGGGGAGAACGACACACTGCCATCAAGTTGATTCCGACTCCTAGCGACTCTTTACGAATAGAACTGCATCACAGATTTCCAAGGCTGCAAATCCTTACGAAGGCAGACCAGCTAAGGGTTCGAACCGCCCTTTTAGTTAGCAGCCGAATGCTTTAACCACTGCACCCCCAGAGCGCCTTGAAACAGAAAAAGGTCACTGTAAATGATCACTAAGATCACTGTAGATGTACAACGCTGAACAAAGTCCCCCATAATTCTGGTGCTACTGGCCACTTCATCTAACATTTCCCGCCCAACAGACTTAAAACACAAACTCCCAGGCATGGGGTGACAGACACTAGTAATCCCCGGATGTTGCGCCCACACCCCCTCCTTCACCCAACCACGTGGCAACCACGTGCTCCAAGTGGTAGCACTGCCACACACACTCCGCCGTGCCTCCCCTCCCCCCGTAACTTGCCGAGGAACCCAGCCTGAGGCTCAGTACTACAGCACGGGGCTAAGAACTGTGGGCCAGGGAATCGTACACTAGGCTGTAAGTACCTCTCCTCTCCTCCAGAAAGGGGGTCCATGCCCCACACAAATCCATACAATCTACTGAACCAAACACCCTGGGATCAACAGCAACGATACCAGCCCCACAAATCCACAAACTTCCAGCAAAAGAAAAAAAAAACGCTCGGAGATCTATCGCTTACGCAGGCAACGCCGAACTTTCAGTAACTTTCGGTTCCACGTTGCCTCAGGCCCCGGGCCTGGGATCGCTCACGCCTCAGACTACAGGCCGCTCCTCCTTTCCACCCCATCATGCTGCTGGTTCTTGCAAGCGCAGGCATCATCCTCCTCGCGCCCCATCTCTTATGCTCCAGGGTCCCAGCAGTTAGCTTCCCACTCCCTTCAGATATCCAGCCTGTTTAGCTTTCTCCACTAGCTCAGCCCAGCCTAGGTCGGATTCCCGCCCCCCCACCTCAAAGCCACTAGGCCCTGCTCGGCATGTCTCCAACCCCCTCCAGCAGTTACCGAAAAGATAGTTTTGGGGCCTCAGGGGGCTCATGTCCATGTCCATCGAATCTTCCATGAGGTGGTGGCACGCACTTAGGTGGGAAAGAAGGAGGACGGAGATAAACCACTACTGTTTCTCAGAACAGCCGCGCAGGACGGAATCGCACCAGGGAAAGGACGCGGGCACTCTGCGCATATATATAGCCCCAGGAAGTCTCGCGAGAGCTGCCCAACTACCGCCTCCGCGCGCGTGCTCGGGAGCCCTGCTCCCTGTGAGGGCTCTCTCGCGCGCAAGCGCCCTTCAAGCCCACTCTTTTATATTTTGCCCCCCACCTTCTCCAGGTACTTCGCGGGCTCCCATCGAGCACGCGCATTTCTACCCCGCCGCAGCGGCTGCCGTCGCCGCTTATGCACATGCGTAGTTTCCCCTTGTCGCGCGCGCTTCTTAACTCGAGTCTTCCACGTCCTCTCCCGCTCTGGCGTGCATCAAAAGCCTGCGCAGCCCACCCTGTAAAATGGCGACGGTAATCCTTGGCTCATTATTTAAAGATGGGTGACACGATTGTAAATGAACCAGAAAGCTTCTCGGTTCTTCTTTTCCTGCCCTCTTGTGTCCCGCAGGCCTCCACACAGGCATAATCAGGATTTTTGGCATACCTGAAGCCCTGAGCTCGGAGCTGTTTCCCCGAAGTTAAAGCTTCAGATGCCAGAGACCTAGCAGACTACGGATTATTCTTTGTTGAATTTGAGTTGGTGTAAAAAGATTTAGCTTCGGACCAGACTTAATCAATTGTGTTTTCATAGCTCTGCCCCCAAAGTTTCATGTTGTCCTAAGGCCATAAGAAAAGGAGCTCTGGTGGCACAGTGCCTAAGGCATTTAACTGTGAACCAGAAGGTTAGTGGTTCAAACTCACCAGCCGCTCTGCGGAAGGAGGATGAGGCAATCTACATCCGTAAAGGTTTACTGTCTTGGAAACCTAATGGGGGTCCCTATGAGTTGGAGTAGACTTGATGGCAGTGAGTTTGGTTTTTGGTTGATAAGGCTATAAGAAGGGAGCTTTGGTGGTGCAGTGCCTAAGGCATTTCATTGCTAACTAGGTTGGCGGTTCAAACCCACCAGCAGCTCAGCAGAAGAAAGATGGTACAATCTACTTCCATTTACCACCTGGGTAACCTAATAAGCGTCGTTATGAGTCAGAATCCCTTGATGGCAGTGAGTTTGGTTGTTTTATGTTTTTTTGTTTGTTTTCTTTTTTGAGGGCTAAAAGGGAGGCTAAATCATTCTCTGCCTATGAGCAGGACAGAGACCATGTTCCAGACAGTGGAGATTTTTAAAGGGTTGTGTATTCATAATATGGTCCGACAAAAGGCTCTGGGAGGCAGAAACCTTTTCCTTGCCCAAATGAATGAAGTAGTGAGATGGAACTGGTTCACTAGCTCCAAGTTCAATGCTTCATCTTAGAAGAGGTTAGAGGGGTATTATGTGGGACCAGTCTCTGAGACAGTGCAGCTCTTAATCTTTAGCGTTCCTTAATACAGCAGATGACTGGTAAAAAAATAAACCTTAATTAGAATCTGTGGGACTGAACCTGGAAGTTAGCATCTTAAACAAGCTACACTTTAATAAACACCAAGGACTTGCAGCCCTTGGCACCAACCAGTACCTTTTGAAGTTCCCCTAATCTCTTTTACCTTAACAGATAAAACAATAAGAATGATGAGGCACAGAAATAGTGATAGCATTTCCTCTATCCCCTTTTCTCCAAATATTATGTTTGGAAAAATCAGCTATCATACATACACAAAAATAAAAATCTTAAATTTGTTTGTTGTTGTTGTTGTATGCTGTCGAGTCAGCCCCGACTCATAGCGACCCCTCCTTGGGTTTCCGAAGGCAGTATCACTACGGAAGTAGGATTGCCCAACCTTCCTTCCGAGGAGTGGCTGGTGGGTTTGAACCGCCAGCCTTCTGGTTCCTGTATTAAATAGAAAGACACGACCAATATGTGAATGGAGCCAAGCTAGTCCTTATCCCTAAGGAAAGAAGACTCTTCACCAGCCTCCTGCTTCCAGATCTTTGGGGATGTAGAAAGTGACCAATTGCTGGAGAAAATCCTGACACTTGGAAGTTTATCTGTGTCAAGAATTAAGAAAGGAGGACATAGGCAGGGATGTGGGTGAGGAGGGTTTGGGTATTAGAATAATAAAATCTCAAGAGGATGTCCAAGAGAGTGGAGGAAAAGGCATTAATGTCTTTTGAATCCATGCAAGTAAAAGTTGGAAATCATTTGTAATTTTTTTTTTTTTTAAACTGGACCTTGATTATTTGAATGCAATTCTCTAGAGAGCCTGAACTATGTGGGAGCTGTCTTTCATGTTACATGAATAAATACATTTGTTGTTTTAATCTTCCAAGCACCTAAATTGGATATGATCTTGATGGAGTCAAGTAATTTTAAAAAACTACTAATGTCATTTTCAGATTAACAAATGTAATAATTCCTCATTATCTTTTTAATTAAAATGATATACTTACTGCCATCAAGTCGATTCCAACTCATAGCAACCCCCTTGGGGTTTCCGAGGCAGTAAATCTTTAAGGAAGTAGATTGCCCCATCTTCCTTCCGCAGAACAGCTGCTGGATTTGAACCTCCAACCTTCTGGCTAGCGGTCAAATGCCTTAGGCACTGCACCACCAGAGCTCCTTTGAAATTATATAGCCCTATACAAAATGAAAGGAGCTCTAGTCAGCAGTTCAAGCCTAGCAGCTGCTCTATGGGAGAAAATTGAAACCATCTGCCTCCATACAGATTTACAGCCTTGGAAACCCTATGAAGCAGTTCTACTCTTGTCCAGATGAGGGTCCCTATGAGTCGAAATTGACTTGATGACAGTGGGTTATACAAAATGAAAGCACTCTGATGGCATAGTGATTATTCACTCTACTAAACAAAAGGTCAGTGGACATATAGACATGAAAGCTGAACAAGTGTGGAAAGGTAGGTGGGACTACATCCACGAATATATATGGGTTTGAAAGAGGATTTTTTACAGATGTATTTACATGCGCTGCAAATATATCCTTGAATATATAGAGCATACAGAGGGCAAAGTTATGAAAACTTAATATTAACCAAACACCTTGAGAGAATAAGTCACTGGGTCTAGGGGATGCCAAGGTTTTGGGAAACATCAAGGTCAATTGGCATAACATGTTTACAAAGACAATGTTCTGCATCCCACTTTGGTGAGTAGTGACTGGGGTCTTAAAAGCTTGTGCACCTATTAGTCCAAAGGACTAATGAGCCACATGAAACTCAGCCTCCACAACCCTTAGACCAGAACTAGATGGTGCCAGCTACCACTGCTAACCACTTTGACAGGGATCACAATAGGAGGTCCTGGATAGCGTGGGAGGAAAATGTGGAACAAAACTCAAAATAATTAAAAAAACTAGGTTTACTGGTTTCATAGAGACCAGTGGAATTCCTAAGGCTATGGCCCTTAGATATCCTTCAGGCCTGGAACTGAACTTACCCCCATGGTTCAACTTTTAGCCAAAAGATAGATAGGCCTATAAGGTGAACATTAACACCAGGGAAGTACCCACTTCTTAGAACAATCAACCATACATACGAGATCAAAAGGACAGCATCTGCCCAGCGATAAAGCTCAGAAGGCAGTTTTTGTTAGGTGCTGTCGAGTGAGCGCTGACTCACAGAAACCCTGTATACAATAGAACGAAATATTGCCCAGTCCTATGCCAGCCTCACAATCCTTGCTATACTTGAGCCCATCATGGCAGCCACTATGTCAACCCAACTTGTTGAGGGGCTTCCCCATTTTTGATGATCCTCCACTTTATCAAGCATGATACCCTTCTCCAGGGAATGGTCCCTTCTGACAACATGACCAAAGTAGGTGAGACAAAGTCTGGCCATTTTCACTTCCAAGGAGCATTCCAGCTGCAGTTCTTCCAGGACAGATTTGTTCATTCTTCTGGCAGTCCATGGTATTTTCGGTATTTTTCTGCAATACCACAATTCAAAAGCATCAGCTCTTCTTCAGTCTTCCTTATTCATTATCCAGCTCTCACATGCATATGAGGCAATTGAAAATACCATGGTTTGAGTTAGGCACACCTTAGTTTTCAAAGAGACATCTTTGCTCTTCAACATTTTAAAGAGGTCTTTTGCAGCAGATTTACCCAGTGCAACACAATGGCTGATTTCTTGACTGCTCCTTCCATGGGTGTTGGTTATGAATCCAAGTAAAATTAAGTTCCTGACAGCTTCAATCTATTCTCCATCATGATGCTGCTTATTGGTCCAGTTGTGAGGGTTTTTGTTTTCTGTATGTTCCTGTGTAAACCATACTGAAGACTGTAGCCCTTGATGTTTTTTAAAGATTACAGCCTGGGAAACCCTATGGGGCAGTTCTACCCTGTCCTATAGCATCACATGAGTTAGAATCAACTTATGGCAGTGGGTTTTGTTTGTGAGTTTTATCCCCTGTCAAGGAAAAAAAAAAAAAAAAAACCTCACTGCCATCTAGTCAGATCCGACTCATAGCCACCCCTCCTTGATATTATCTTTAAATTGGTAGAGCTAGAACTATGCTGTCAAATGCAGAAGCCACTAAGTACAAGTGGCTATTTAAACTTAATTAAAATTAAAAATTCATATCAGTCTCACTAGCCAAGTATTATTCAATAGCCACATGTGGCTTGGCTATCATACTAGATACTCCACTGCCATTGAGTTGATTCTGACTAACAGCAACCCTCTAGGACAGAGTAGAGCTGCCCCATAGGGTTTCTGAGGCTGTACATCTTTACAGAAGCAGACTGCCTCATTTTTCTCCCTCGGCGTTGCTGGTGAGTTTGAACCACTGAATTTTATGGTTAGTAGCCGAGTGCTTTAACCACTGTGCCCCCAGGGTTTCTTTAGTATTGGATAGTACACAGAAGCATTCTCTCACTGCAGGAAGTTCTCTTGGACAGGGCTGATTTAGAGGCTTGTTCAGATTCCTGTTCACTTATTTTGTCAGAGGCATACAATTATGGTTCTGGTTGTCTTTTTATAATATTAAATTTGTTCAGTCTATTCAGGTATTGTCAGCCTGATTCTTCTTTTATGAAGTTCACCATTCACCTTTCACCTAAGAGTTTTAGCAAATCCTTACCTCAATCCACTATTTCTAAACCATCACTCTTGCGTTTATTAACTAGAATTCTTCCATGAAGGAGAACTTCCCTTATCAACTCTGGTTATCCTAAGAACTGATCAGAAAAGGATTCTGTCTTTTCCTTTATTG